TGATCATCTAGTAGGTGTTCAAATATGCATTGAAGGTCGACTCGGTTTAAGTGCTCAGGGTTTACCAATATTTCCTGCTCCTGCGGATTTTCTTGCTGTGGCATCGATTCTCGAGTATTGACTACGGTGCTATGCCGTTCTTTCGATGGATAAGCATTTTCCGTGGGGCGCGATAAGTAGTCCACCAATACATTGGCTTTACCCCTTCGGTACACTATGCGTATGCCATAGTGCTCAATCCTGTCTAAAAATCGGACAATTCTGACGGGTTGCTCAGCTTTAGTCTAGATGGACTTAAGTGATTGGTGGTCTGCAACGATAGTGACGTCTGATCCCTCAACCCAGTGTCGCCAATGTTGTAATGCCATCAATATTGCCCGTAGCTCTCGTTCCTGCGCCGAGTATCGCTGCTGCGTTTCGTTGAGTTTGCGTGAAAAGTTGGCCACGGGGTGTAAGGTAGATCGAGAGTTGTCAGTTACCGAGATGCTGGGCTGCAGCAGTGCTGCTCCAAGGAATTTCTGAGATACATCTGTTTCTAGAACAACCGGCAGACGCCAGTCAAAGCATTTAACTACTGGCGCAGAAGTGAGCGCTTCTCTGATTTTGCTCCATGCTAATTGAGCCTCGATTGTGAGTGTGACAGGTGCATTTTTTGGTCCAGTGGATTGATCAATAAGTGGGCCGGCCAATCTTGAGAAATCTTTAATGAGAGACCGGAGGTAACCTGCGGCTTTAACGAACCCACGAATTTCAGAAGTTGTTTGTGGCATCGGTGTTTAGCAAAGTTATACTAATATGAATCTCTCTCAGAGTTTATTGAATTGATTGTCTCTCCCATGAGGAATCTATCTAGGTACTATATACATCTTGAGTATCCTACTAATTCCAAATATAGACTGAATATTAGATTGCCAATACGAACTGCTCAAATCTCTGTTCCATACATGGGTCTAAGATTGGCTGTTACATTATCATGGGTAATAGAAGGAGTGAAACAACAAGGGAGTTGTGCGTATGAAATTGGCCATCCGTCTAGTTGCTAATTGTAACATTTTCATGACTAAGTTATTGCCCTTGATGCATCAGCCCAGTTTACTTGCTTGTAAACTACTCAACTTAAACATCATGAGACAACATTTAAGTTTAGGGTAATCTGTTTGACGATCGGTCTGTCTCTTACTGCAGATACCTTGCTTGGGTCGGCTGGAATACCGAGGAATGAAATCGAAAAACCTAGGAAAATGCCGTGGCTGGCGAAAAGTTGACATTTAGAGGTATTTAAAATCAATCCGTACTCTGCGAACCTAGAAAAAACCAGAATTAAACGTGCGTGGAGTTCTTCGGGTGTGTCTGCCCAGACTGCGACGTCATCTAGTAGACCCGCAACAAATGGACGAAATGGTTGGAGGACTTCTTCCATAAAAGATTGGAATGTAGCTGGGGCGTTACAAAGTCCGAAAGGCATGAATAGCCATTAATAAGCGCCAAATGGAGTGACGAAGGCGTTCTTTTCGCTGTCTTCTTTATGCATGCGCATTTGCCAGAAGCCATTTTCGAGGTCGAGAAATGCATAATACTTGTGACCGGAGGCTCGTTGTATTTCATCTTGCGTATTTGGTAGAGGGTGTGCGTGTTTTTTTGTAACTTTATTTAGTTCCATGTAGTCCACACATATTCGCCAGATTACTTTATCCGAGCTTGCGTTTGTTTACTTTTGTGTAAGCAGCAGGGGTGCTGCCCATAGTCCTTTGCATTTCTTGATCAATGTTCCTTCGTGGGAGGTGCGAAAATCGCGGTTGGCTTGAATTTGCGATGGACTGTAGCACCTAGGTGGTAGTTTGATCGGAGGGCTGTTGTTGGTGTCAATGCGGTCTGAAGTTTTAGAAAGAATGTCGGATCTTCTTAGATATTTGTCGAAAAGGGAAGGAAATTTTTCTGCGTATATTTGCCCATACTTTACACCCTGGATTGTGGTATTAGGGTGCCACTTAATTTTGTATATTTCTTTGGTCGTGAAGATTTTTTGGGACAAATTATTTTCGATGAGGGGGTTAAGGACTGGTATCTCTGGAAATTCGAGGAGCTTAATCTCACCGTGGGCGAGAAATTCGAATCCAAATGCGTGGAATACTGTTTGCCCAAGCGTGAGGTCCCCAGGGAAAGTTCCGTCGGGAACGACACCAGCCGAAATGGTGAAAGGTGAGGAAAACTTTTGGCTGTTTGGTGGAGAAAGGAAAAATTGCGCACTGACTAGAGCATCTTCAGAGATCGTGGGGTCTCTACCGCCTATTTCACACATTGTGGAAGCCTGAGTTGTCTGGTAGGGGGTGATCCTTTGCGCGAGAGAAGAAATGTAACAAGAAGGGCATCCATAATCAAAGAAGGTGGAGAAACTGCACAAAGGAGATGAGGTTAAACGAGTGTGGAAAAGGTTGTGCGGCTTGCCATGTACCTCTCGCGTAGGTTTATTGCAGAGAGGTGGCGTGTTATTTCCGATGTATACTGCCACGAAATAAGCATCTTAACATCCTTACTCGTAGCACTGCTCCTGCTCGAGTTCATCGAAGATCTTTTCCAGCTCATCATCGATGGCGTTGTCATCAGCGTGTTGTACTTCGCCAGGTATTTCTTCGGGGTCTATCGAGTCTATCAGATAGGTCCCTTGATTTCTTGGTTTGTCCGTCAGCCATGGCCTTTGATGCCGAGTTTTATCTAGTAGTGATGTAAATCTCTTCTTGAAGGTACCGTATTTATCATTACTCTTTTCCCGCTTGTGGTACTGCGGAACTGGTTTAGTGGGGTCCCTTTGGGGGCACTCTCTAGCCCAGTGTGCCATTTTTTTATAGATGGCGCAACTACTGTCGCGTATTGGGAACGAGTTTTCCGGTTTGGGCAGTATGGAGTCAGCCCTTTCTTAGGCTTGGAAGATTTCTTGTTGGCTCAACCTGGGATCTGCTATTAGGAGCCTAGATTGAGAGGATGGTCCTGCGCTAGTGCAGAGATTTGTATGTGTTAGCCATTTTGAAATTCGGCCCGCAATCTGAACCAGGGATTCGATACCCTCACGAGTAAGCCTTCCTACCATTGTTGGTTGTAGAAGCGTCCAAACATGTGGCAAGTAGGACTTTGTAATGTCCGCGAGGGTGTCGCGAGTTGTATCACTATCTCTATCGGCTTTAGATAGGTGATAGTAGCTGTTCCGGATTCGAGAAGCGAAGGAATTCATGTCCTCTCCGTCCTTGGCGGAGAGGCGAGAGAACAAAGTCCTCGGACTATGCAGAACGTCTAGTCGCTGCATTGTTTTGAAAATGTCTTCGAGGAGTAGAGGCCATGTGGTTGAGGGGTTTTCCTCGGCCCAAACACGTGTCCCCTGGAAATCTTCTTTCATTTCGAGGCAGAGACGTTGCGGTCAATACCAGTATGGGACCAAGGCTATTTATAGGGCTGACCGAATTTCAGCGAGCTTTAAGAAAACGGTAGAATCCGCTTTGTCGAGGCGAAGGTCTGGCCGAATGACTACCTTCATTCATTGTTCTAGTTTAACGTCCTACGCGGTATCTATACACAGAACCATGAAGACGGTAAGCCATGTTAAGAAGGGGAAAAGCTTTCAACAAACAAAACCCGATGTCCCACCACTCTGAACCGACCCGGCTTAATGCTGAGGACGTTCCTTTCAACCATAATTTTTTAAACTTTCCCCAGAATTCGTTAACCCCCCCTTCGATCAGACTAACGTTATAAAAAATTAAATATAGAAGGCACCTCCTCACTCGGCGTTGGTCTTCGAAGTGTTCGAAGAGTTGGCCCTGATGGTGGTGCTGCTGTCGAGGCGATGGTTGGTGCCGCTGGAGCTTTGACTACCTTACGTGGTCGTCCCGGCCCTCTTTTGAGTCCTTCAGGCTTCTTACTGGTGACTAAAGTAAATCCCTGATCATCAGTTGGTCCGACTATTCGCATTGGCGCCATTGTTGGTTTTTCATTCCATATTACTGCCGTTCTTGACAACAGCTCCATCCGAACCTTCTCCACACTTCCCTTGTAGACCTGGTAGGTCCGACGCGCTGCTTTCTACCACGAACGGTGCTCCTTGCCGCAGTTCGCACAAGAAACCCTTTTCCTCGGACAGCCCCGAGTTTGGTGAGCGCCAGCGCACTCACCGCACCTGGCTGCCTTTCCACACGACGCCTGCATGTGTCCCCACTGGCTGCAGTTGTAACACTGCTTTAGCTGGGACTGTGGTAACCACACCTGCGCGGTGTAGAGCATGGCGTTCATAACTAGGCCGTTTTGGACCACTTCCGTCTGCATTGCCTCCGATGGGAGGCTTACCACAATTGATCCACGAGTGCGGCCATTTTTCTTTGACCGCTGGTATTCCTTTTCGTCGTGTAACAACCTTATAAGACTTATGACTAAGCCTGGAATACGTGCCTTCGTCGCCGTCTCAATCTCCCTGATAATAGCAAAATTGTTGGCATCTCTGCTCCCTTCAATTCGTGTCCGCAATGGGACACCGTCGACCTCGACTGGAAAATCTTGCCGCAGAATTTTGAATTCTGTTGGTTGTTGCATATTTAGTGCCGTGTGTCTCTGGGACGCCGACTAAACGAATACCTCGGTATTGTTGCTCCGCATTTGACGAATTGCGTATGCACCTTGTATGTGCTCTTTTGCCTTTGAAAGCAGCTCTTGTGGCTGCAAGTTTTGGGCGCCGTCGATTCTTATTCTTACCGCTGTTTTTGTCATTTGGGTAGCCACGACCGATGCGTAACTCTTTGCTGTCGGCGCGCCCGAAACCGAAGCTGGAGCAGCTTTCCGAGCGGGATGCGCGAGGCTTTTCTTTACGACTTCCTCTAAAGCCATCATCCTCTCCTCGATTGGAGACTTCTTCTGGGACATTTCCATCCAGGCCCTTTTGTGCGCGTTGAAGGCCTTCATGGCCTCGTTCACGTCCTCCATTGAGGGTAGGTCCTCCTCATCCATCTCTCCCATCACGATTAGTCTAATCTGTTTTGGTAGTTTCCCCAGGTTTTCAAGGTTTCTATCCTTTGGAGCTGTCTGCGCTCCGCTGCCGTTATTTGTTGAGGCCATAGTCGCATTTTGCGACGCGTCGAAACCGCTGGATTTACCCACACCAGCACCCACACTCGCCATGTTGGAGCACGGGAAGCGAAAAGATAGTAGGAGGGTAATGAAGATGTAAAAATAATAATCACGATGTCAAATTGATGATACGAGCAGCGTGGAACGCTGCACAGCTTTCTAGCAAAAATGATGTTTTTTCGAATGACAACCTTATTTTTTATGCTGGTATATGCCTTGTGATTTATCTCATGCGCTAGAAGTGCTTGAGGCCAGGCTTCTTTGACGAGTCTTTCAACAGGCGTCAAAGCGAAAAATTCAGGCTCTGGTTTGGAGATGACAGTTGTGTTGTCAACCGGCATGGATGCGTCTAGCTTTGCCGGGGCCTTTCCTTTGTCGGGTCGGAGGTATCGGACATTGAGAGCTTAATTAGTTGGCTTCTTGATTGGATTGCCTTGAGGCTTGCTTTCATATCGTACAGCATTGCTTCTATGCGGACCATCCTTTCAGCCGTTTTCTTGCTCTGTTCAGCTTGGTGTATGGCGATGTCAGTTTGCGAACACACTAGGCTCTCGAGCTTTTCAAATTGCTGTTTGATCCTATCGTTGGACTCGTTTTGTTGGTCAATGTGTTCGCGCAATTTTTTATTGGCGCCCGCAATTGTCGCTGGCTCGCTCCTTTCAGACATGGTGTATTGTTGGATAGGTTGATCTTACTTTTTTTTTGAAACGTGGAAATGAGGTTTACTCTTCAAAATATATTTTTGAGGTTCCGAGCGCGCGTTGCATACTTAGTATACAATGTGTGTGGGTGTAAGATTGGGGTGATATTACGTGGTGTCTCGTGGCTCCTAACTAGAACGGGTCTTGTGTAGAGCTTGAGACTAATACGTGAATTCTACGTCCTCTAAGTGTAGGATATGTCTACGCCTAAATACATCAATCCCTCCTTACCCCTCAATGCCGAAGTGATCTATCATTATGATTATGTAATGATATTGTGCGAATCCCCATAACCCTGTAAGTCTTTTCCGGATCCACAACAAGTCGGGCGTGGCTCTATGGGTCGTGCCGTGGTAACCGATCCAACTCCTCCACATTGCTAGGACCCCTCGCGACTGAGGCTGAGTCGGATTACATGTATTTCCATTAACCACATCTGCCTCCCCTATTTGAAATTTCCCGTTCGACCCGCGTCACTCCATCCCTCTCCGTCGAGCCGCTATTTTCGGTCATATATCCAGGACTTAGTAAGCTAGCTCCAACAGTTTACTAAGACTGGAGTGTTTGCCTAGGAGACTCTCAGCTTAGAGAGCGTTAAACCACAACACTGCCTTGGCAGCTGATTAAATCAAAGCTAGCTCGCTGCTTTCATATTGGGAAATTTCATCTCAAACAAATAATCTCATTGTTGACAGCCTTACCTCTTCAAGGCACTGCCACAGTATTCCCTATGTAAAGTTACCAAGATAAACAGGCAAGCCGTAGTATAAGTCATGACTTGGGTACAATTAAAGCATGTAAATATCACAGTCCTGTCCGTAAAAACTGATAGTCTAAGCATGCTCCGATGAAATATTGGGTGGAAGTTGAAGTGAATTTGCCAACTAAGCCGGAGCTCTCCAGAGAAATTTTGACTAATGGATAAGAGGCAAGTGTTTGAGCTTTAGCTAGAGAGCAAAATTCTAGCCTCTTTTTACTACGCTCAAAGTCTAGGACACACGCCGCTTATAGCTCACAAATAATGAATTTAGTGGCACAGCGAGTATGTAGAAATTTTTCTCTTGTCACAACGTCTTATATAGAAACATAACTTTCAAAGGAAAAGGTCTATTAAACTAAAAGTGCCGAAGTGATAAAAACTAAACCCAAGGCGAAGCATACTCCTGTAAAATCTTACAGAACATTAGATATTCGTTTCGACATGCTAAGCAAATATTAGTCATCAATTCCATAGATAGGATGAGGGACCTACAAATCAAAGAAGGCGAATTGGGATGGCGAGCTACCATACTTGTAAACAAAGCGGCTTGCTAGATAACTTCCGAATATCGCACGGAGGTAACTGTCCGGAACCTAATAGAAGGTTAGCATGTGTAGCAGAGTAACAGGAGCCTCAGGCCTTACTCTCTGAATAATCAGGTCCAATCCAATTTTCGATAATAACAATTTTGGCAAGGCATCAGCAAGAACAGATCTACGGAGCTCATTATTGTTCCAGAGTTCCGTCATCTGAAGTTCCTCGTCTAGGTTGGTAATGGCTATACTCAGAGTATCAGATAGCCTACTCTTCAGCACTTTCGTCTCCTTACTCTCCCTCCAAATCGCCTCGAATTCCAGTCGAGCATTTTCTCGAATTTTTCCCTGGACTTCCTTGACATAGGCCTTGTAGAATTCAGGAGCATTTCCCATCGCATCAACGCACATATGTTCTTCAAACCCTTCATCATCAAAACTCAAACTAGCGAGTACTTCCATCGAGGAAGAGGTCACGCCACCTTTATTAGCCGAAGCATCTTTGAACAGGATGCAGCCAGCCTCTTCCAGGCGAATTTTGGCATCCTGGGCAATGAATAAATTCGCGCCCTCAACAATATAGGGAATGGTTGATTTCCCATTCTGAATAATTTTATTGACCGTCGTTAAATCAATAGACTCGGGCCGACCGCCACATGGAACGAAGCAGTCCGTCAGGCCTGTCTTTCGGAGATGAAAGGTATTACGAAAGACTGTACCGTTACTAATAACCTCACCGTGCGGTAGCTTTACATCATTCTCATCAATGAGCACGCGGTATCCCTCTTGGGAAAGCTTGCTGGTATCAAACTGAGATATCATGGCACGCTGCTTTGCCAAGCGGATTAGTTCCTCGTGATCAATTCCAAGCGGATCAACTAGTACGCCGCTCCCATCTACAATGCTGGTGTACTTTTCATTGCTCAAGAGAATTTCATTGCTTCCCAAGTCTCCGTCTGGACCGCCGGTTTGCATCTTGCGAACCTGACTGGGATCGAGATTACACTTTCGATATATTCCCGTTACAAACTCGCGCACGGAGAGGGTCGTCATGCCATAGGCGTCGTGAGGGATTCCTCCGAGCTTGGGGCTCTTGCCAGTGAAGAATGACTTCCACCATGGAGCGCCTCGCTTTCGGGCATGTTCTGTAGCCCAATCAACCAAGTCTGCTGTATTTTCATCGGGCCCCATGAAAAGAATTTCCTGTCGACCATACAAGTCTACAATTGGATTTTTAATGCCAGGCGAAGATGCAGGGATGAGGAGATCAACAATACTATCAATATACTTTTCAAAGGCAACCCGGCTCTTGTCCTGATGTTGTGCATTCAGCAAGATGACTCCTTTCGAGCCACCTTCAGGAATGTCTTTATTCTTGCGCTGCTGTGTATTGGCTAGTCCGTAGTTCTCGTCAAACATTCGGCGTGCATTGATGGAATATGCTTCGCGGTTTCTCGATTTAACGATCCGAATACCTCCTCGAGCAATATCCCGAAATCTTAGATGAAATCCTCGAAACTCAGAGCCAATGACGAGGAACATGCCATAGAGGGGCTGAGGATATTCGATTTTTGGGAGAAATGATGGATCCAAGCGGAAGCTAAGAGCAACCTTTGTAGGGGTGTAGAAATTAGTTTTTAAGAGAGCATTGTTAAATGTTCGAAAGGCATTCATGACTAACTCTTCGTGCTCATTTTGACAGCTCTTGGTAATCAGTTCGCGTAACTCGTTGTCGGAGAGACTCTCTGGGATATGGCGAGTGGTATCTTTTTCTCCATTAGAGCCATGGGACCAGGTTAGATGGGTGCTGGCAAAGGATGCATAGAGCGATCGCACGAGTTCCGGGTAGAGGGTAATAATGTCCAAGATATAGTCTGCTGTGAATGTCTCGGTTCTTAGGCGCCTCTTAATATTTCCAAGTATCTCTGTGTGTAGGTTGTTGGACGGATCTAGTGCGGAAACTAATGATGAGTACTCGGAGCCTGGAGTTCGTCAGTGACTTTGTGCAAAGAGGAGCCGCAAATGACACCTTACCGAGACGATTCAAGAAGTGCTGTACAAAGATCAAGTGACAGTGGGCATAGATGGCCTCCTGGAGACTTAACTGCCCACTGACGAACAGTGATTGGAACTTATTCTGCGGTATGCAGTAAAGTAAGGATATTTCCTTTGTAATTTGGTGAATGGAGGAGGACAAGGGGGGGAATTTGGTAGCATCGAGATTGGGGGCTGGCTTCAGGTAAAGAGAAATAATGGAAATTCCGTTGCTAAACTGTTCGACATATTTGCGAGAGCTAGTGACGCCATAGTAATGGTAAAGATCTGAGAGGGCACTAAAGATACCGAGGGCAGTTCGTCGACGAAAGGCGACAACGACCCGCTTCTCGCTAGAATTTTCAATGTCAAAGACTTCGATGACTGGCCCAGTTCGCGAGACTGCCAATTCAATGATACTTTGATAGATCTGTAGCGTATTTTTGGTGGCTTTGGCGAGAAACATGCGATCACCAATGATATCGAGACGAGTTTCTTGGGGCGAGGGATTTGGATTGAGAAATTGGCAGTGATAGACAAAATAACAGCGCATTGTAGCATCCGAGAGACCGTTTGAAGTTACATGGGTCGTAGATCTGAAAGTTTCTACTCGGTAGCATGAATTTGACAAGGTCGAGCTATCGAGGTATTTGGCCTCGAGCCGATGTTCGTAGTGCGGCCCATCTATTCGACTGATGCCCGGCTCACTCGTATCAATGTAGATGGCGTGATCGGTTGCTTCCATGTCTAATCTGATTTCCTGTCTCTTTTCTCGGTGGGCCATGGAGGTAATCTTGGCGGCATAGAGGGCGATAATGATGCGAACAATTGTGCCGACACTTTCTAGTTGGAAGTAAACATCATCGATGCCGAGGGCCTCATAAAACCAGGCAATCTCCGTATCCAAGGCCGACTCGGGGAGAAGACCACTTTTCCGGATCTGTTCCTTAACTATGTGCATTACGTTAGCCCACGAAAGCCTTCAGAGACCACAAGTCTCGTGCAACTAACCTTCATCTCTCTGGCCCATCTTGCCCTTAAATTCGGGCGCTACGTAGCCTACCGTCGCCGAGCGTAGCACCTTGTTCATATTACCTGAAATAGGAACGCCTACATGGATGGGCTGAAGAGAAGGCTGTCTGGTGGGTGTATTGGTCAGGTCATCGTGAAAGGTGACCTCGGGAGTGCGCTGAGAGGCCATGGTCTCGGCTTGGAAGGGGCTTAAGTCGAGAGGATCTACCGAGATGTCACCTGGGCCGGCACTCTTGGTAGAAATTTGCGGATCGGTGTAGGCAGGAAACTGATAAGCTGCGACCATGGTGTCAGCTATGCTTATCGGACGTGTTATTTCTTTCAGGAATGGAATTGGTGATGGAATTGAAAGCGAATCTCAGGATCTGGGACTGCCTCGTTCGGTGAAAGGGTGGGCGAGATATAGGTCTCTTGGAGGAATACGCAGCGGCTAGCTTCACGCTGCCAAAGGGTTGGTGTGAACATGATCAAGGGCGCTGAGTGAACCAAACGTTGTGAGGGGAGTAGGTTGGACAAAGATGTGTAGCGCGCTTGCCAAACTAGAGGATTGATGGGTCTAGCGACTGACGTACCTCGGGGTGAGTGTAACCACACTTTCCAGGGAGTTTTTTGCCGCGAAGATCTTGTTGACAACTACTGACCTCGCACTACCTCAGGTCTTTTGGTGAGAATAAGGACTATCAGCCAGTCTAGGCAACGAGCGTGTTGGAAGTGTTCAGGTTCGATGGAGGATTGATATAGCTAGGTAAGGGACGGCCTGGATGGCCTGGTCTTTCTCACGAGATGAAGGAGAGGATTTCATCGGCTCAGATGCCGGCGTGAGAAGGAATGGAGAGAGAGGCAGAGGCGGGAATACATAGTGATTGTCCTGGCCGTTGACGCTTGGTGGATCCATGTGCCATGGAACCAGAGACGGTTGGAATGACGATCCGAAGGTGAGTAGCCTCGTGGCCAAGGCTGGAAGAGGGGAAGCGATGGGGCCAAGCGGCGGGGCAGAGTAGTATCGTTGGTGGAGATTTGGAGGGTATCAGGGCTCCAGCCTAGTGCAGGGGCCGAGGGGTGGAGTTGCGGCAGCGGATGAGTCCCGTCTCTTTGTCTTGCATATTTCCGCGGGCGGGTGGAAGTGCTTTAGGGGTTCCTGAGGGATCAGCGTACCTGACCCCTCAAACACCAAGGCTCAGCGTCAGCGTCGGCAACTGATCTGGTCGCATTTCGAGGTTTTTGGGGGGGGCCGTGCTAGCTTGCCCCTCTCCTGAGCTGGTCAGGATGCGGCCTCGTCCTGTTCCGAGGAAACTCTAGATTGTCTTTCCTTTTTTTCTTCTCCCTCGACACGCGCGAAGGATCTACCCGCTGGCAGCTCCGACTAGGCGCCAAAGTTAGGGTGGCAGAGAGGCTTCCCATCACCTTCTTCAGCTGCCCACCCACACTGTCCCGCCAAGGGTGAGACGGCGCGGCAGTGTGCGGGTGGCTGATACCTCTCATTATGACTGGCAAGGCTATTCGAAAAGTTTCAGCGACGCCCAAGACAGGACGGGTGGTATGACGAGAACTCAGAGCCAATTCGTCGCACTTGATGCAATGCTCGAGGGGTTCATTACCACGAAAAACCACTCAAATTGGCCACCCTCACGTGACAAATCTGCGTCAGATAAGGCTGGGGCTTGGCGCAGGCTATAGTCATGTGATATGGGGCTGTCTAAGCCGCTTCTTCGTCGACGCCATCGGGAGGGGCGATGATAATGCAAATTATTGGGGGTAGACTAGTCGATAGAAAGCCCAAGACTCTTTCCGATGCACATGTGCATGTTTTGTGGGCAGTTATTTTGCGGGTATCTGGCTCGACAGCTCCGACGCAGGATCTGTGTGCGGTGTGTGGACCAAGTAGCCGCTCGAACGAGGGGGCGAGGGGACAAAGTCATCTCGGAATTCTGCAAAGGACCTTTCCTACCGTCTCCGCATGAGCTGGATCAAGCCTCTGGCAGATTGCCTTGTCGGCCTTTTGTCAGCAATGCTTCGTGCGGCTGGGCTTGAGACAAGCCTTCATTCTCGCGACTGAGCCGGAGATGAAGGACTCGTAGATCCTGCCTGGGCAGCCTTTGATTTCTCCGCAGTGCCCAGCCGGGGCTATGGTGTCGGGGAACGGATGTAGCACATTCCGACAGGCGAAGTCGGCAGCCGTCGCACACCGACTAGGACTTCGGGCCGATCCACGCGTCGGAGGCTTCGGCTTTCGGTTCGTGTAGGCGAAAACTGCGTCCTTCTTTCCGCACATGCCGCAGACGAACCTGCCGGAAACTGAGACTCCAAACATTCCTCGTCCCGCCCTCCACGCCGAAGTCTATCCTGAGCGTCGGTAGAGACAGTACAGTCTCTTATGGGTAGCAAAGGTAAAATTGTCCAAATGACTGGGGTTAGATCCCTGTACATATTGCCTTAATTGGTATGATCTTCATGCAGGCCCATGTCTAGTAACTCGACTAGTTATGCAAGCAAGGGGTACTATCCAATGACATTCCGTGAAAGTCTAAATTATGGGGATGGTTTTGAACTCAATGGGAAAAGTACAATGGTCCTCAGTTGAAATTCAAAATTGAAAAAAGTCAGTTGATATTCTCTAAAAATGCACATCTATTTCAAAAATTATTGCTCTTTATATAAAAGTCTACATCGAAGCCCTCAGTATGGCTCGCAACTGAAATGAAAGCGTACTACATGATTAGTGTGTCTTTTCCATCCTAATACTTTGTGTACCCTCCATTTGCCTTTATCACTGCTACACATCTTTCGTGCATGCTGCCAACTAGTGACAATAGCTCGTCAGAAGGTATAGTCTCCTATGCGGCCTGTAGCAAAGACTTCAACATGGCAGAGCGCACAAGCCTGACCCCATTTTTCTCTGGACTATTTACCTGAATGTGGTTTTTTAAGATGTTCCATGGTGACTCAATTGGGTTCAGGTCCGGAGATTAAAGTGGCCATCTCATAGGCGTTATTCCAACCTCACGTAGCGCCTTAGTTCTTGAGTGTGCTTTATGACATGGTGCGTTGTTGTGCATGTATAGAATTTCTGGATTTTCCATGTGAAATTGATTCAAAAGTGGCAAAATCCTTTCACAAAAGGATGAGGACCTCATTGATCCCAAATCCTTCTCCCAGACTAGGAATGGGCCTTTTTGTGATCCGTAAAATGACCCCCAAGACATCCAGCTGTTCCCATGAGTATGGCGAGCCACAATACAAGTCTCATCAAACTCATCATCAGGCTAAACTCTGCTGTTAGTACAGGGAAGATTTAGATAGAATTTAAACGTAATTTTCTTGTGACACGAGGTTTCATATAACAATCACCCGATACCCAGGTTTCATCAGTCCATAATATGCGACTCCATAGTTCATCGCTCCAATCTAAATGTAATTGGACGAACTCCAATCTTTTCTGCTTGTTCACTGCGCTTAACGGAGGCTTCTTCCGAGCAATGCATCTGCTGTAACCTCTTTTTTTGAGTGCATTAGAAATTGGACGTTCACTGCATTCCCAATGGCTGAAGGGCCCCATGTCTAGTTCCAAATAGCACATCTGTCGATTTTCAGGAGACTCCCGGACGAATACTTCAAGGTCATCAACTTGTTCCGCGCTTAATTTTGGTAAGGGTCCTTTGCGAGACATGGAATTCTCAGTCTCTCGAGCACACGCAAGTTGCACTTGCCTTCTTGTGAAGCTAAGATCGTCGGATGTATGTTGTAATGTCAAGCCAAGTCTTCTTAATGCTCTTATTTCAATACATTGATCGCGAGTTAGATGCTTGCGAACTTTAGTTTCTGAAGCAGACTTTTCGAGAGATATTGGTTGCTAGAAGTGAGGATGAATTGATAGTGGTGAGAAGTTTCAATGACTGTGTAGGCTTGGCAGCCAAAAATGTCGTTGAAAATGTGTTTTACTAAGCGATTATTAGAAGAAGACGATTGGACCATACTTCATGGCGAGCGGGGTAAGGAGGAGAGACATACTAACCTATTACGAGCTAGCCCAACTGCGCCTACAGGGCTAATCCCTTCAACGACCCAGTTTGAAGTTTTACCTTTTGGAACCTAGAGGCACTGTAGCAGCTTGGCTGACAGCCTTCGTCACCCGGCAGTAATTCGCTTCTTTGGTCTGAGTCACGGCGAACTACACAGCTGAGTCGACACCAAGTAAGGCTAGAACATCTAAAGTCCAACGCCGGAACTATTGGAGGCAGGAGCCGCGAGATAGCACGCGACCAGGTGGCCCCGCTGCCAGCATCGAGATCCAATTCACGCTTGGCCTTAATCTTAAACCCCACAACCCCACAACCACACTTGTCTACACATTCATGCCTAGTCTCACCGTCCGGAACCTAAGAAGTGGAGAAGTTGAGAAGAGTGAGATTGTGAACTGCCGGTCCATAGCTCGCACGAGCCGTCAACGCCTGCCCAATGTTGTACTATGCGATAACCGGCGTGCGCACCAGACCAAAATTATTATTATTTGATTTGACCAAACTACCTGCCATGCAACTGCTCAACGCTCCGACGCGCTTATTCGGAAGGCTCTATTTGAATTCGTCTATTGTGAGTTCAGCAACATTGCTATGCCATTTTCTCGTATGTCACCAGGCCCAGTACGAGCCCCGTGTCCAACGGCCATGATGCAATATCAGGAACTTGAACGACTACATAAAAGACAGAAGATTCATACCACAGGTCGCACTCACCATTGTCACTGCCGAGTTCATCTCGGCCTTGAGTATCCCAACAAAGAAAAAGCGTGATAGCCCTCAGCCTATCTTCTCACGATAGATTAGATGGGTACCAGGGTAGGAGTATGTGTAAGATTGAAGAGGTTCGAAATAAAGGATGTTTTCTTTGAACGTACCAAACTACAGGCCCATTTGCGATCCAAGTGATCACCTGAACCAATACGACCCAATCTTAACATAGCTATATCCTAACGTATGGTCCCACCTTACTCTGGTCTGGGAGTGTCTCATAAATTATTTAGAGATGCCATATAGGCTGACCGGCTTGGCTTCATCTTGCATGGAAATCGTCGATTAAACTCCTCTATTGAGGCACAAGCATTCATAAGGTCCTTGCCTGGTTCCAGTGTCTAAATTTCCGAAGTATGGTCTTGTGATGGCCTATCACCAAAACAATCAGAACAAATTAAGTTGGCCGTAATATAGTCTATTTTCTAATTATCTAGGATATGGTATCTATTTAGGTTGATGGACATATATGCATGTAACTCTGACCCCAGAGAGGTTA